GTGTCTCCCCCTCAGACTGGGGCTCCCTGAGGGCAGGGCTGTGTCTCCCCCTCAGACTGGGGTCCCTGAGGCAGAGCTGTGTCTCCCCTCAGACTGGGGCTCCCCCCTCAGACTGGGGCTCCCTGAGGGCAGGACTATGTCTCCCCCTCAGACTGGGGCTCCCTGAGGGCAGGACTATGTCTCTTTCTCAGACTGGGGCTCCCTGAGGGCAGGGTTGTGTCCCCCTTCAGACTGGGGCTCCCTGGGGCAGAGCTGTGTCTCCCCTCAGACTGGGGCTCCCTAAGGGCAGGGCTGTGTCTCCCCCTCAGACTGGGGCTCCCTGAGGGCAGGGCTGTGTCTCCCCCCTTGGACTGGGGTTTCCTAGTTCCAGACCCCTCCCTGAAGCTGTCCTTGCCGCAGTCCATGTCCTCACCCTCAGGGGTGCCACTGATGTCAGTGGGAGGACCAGTGTTGGGGGAGCGCTTGGGATTCTGGGTGAGGGCATTCTGCCGTGTCCAGTCAAAGTTGTCTGTCAGGTCCTGGGTGTAGCCACAGATCTTCTCATCTTCAAAGTGGCAGGTGTTGTCTGCATTGGGCCAAGGAGGAGGGGAGGAGACGAAGAGGGTCAGGCTCCTCAGGCGACCTGGTCTAGCTTCGCCCTCCCTGGCCACCCCGAGGCAGGTGCCGCGCATCCAAGCCATGGGCCTAGGATCTCAGGACTTCAGAAACCAGGCAACAGGGCCCCTGACAAATCTGTTCCCAGAACGGGACTTCCTAACCTTTGTACACTGCAGACCCTCTGACATCTAGTGAAGTCTAAGGACTCCATCTCAGAATAATAATTTTAGATGCACAAAATGAAATACACAGGGTCACAAAGGAAAATCACTTATATGGAGATACAGCTGTCAAAATATTTAAAAAACACATTTGTGAGATAACAATAGGTGGGCTTCTTTATTATCTAATTAAATAACAAGATCTAGTGTTAGCTCTAATAACTGCTGTGGTTTTGAAGTCCTGATGAATGTAAATGATATTCAGGAGTGGCTGTAACAACTTTAAGATAATGTGCAAACGGGGCTTTGTCCTGATGACAGGGTCACAGGGAGTGATCATACTAGTGCAGTCTGTTGCCTACATTCGTCCCTGAAGATGTTAAACTTCTGCTAGAAGTTAGGGGAAGATAAAGAAGTCACTGTATGCCCTTCCACATTCCAGGTTCATGGACCCCCTGAATTCTATACACAGATCCTTTGCGGGGAGGGAGGGCTTCCTGGATCTCAGATTAGGGACCCCTGCCGCAGAGAACAGGGGATGTGGACTAGTCTGGTCTCTCCATTTTTCTTTTAGGGACAGTGATTCTAGGGACAGGATCAGGGTGCTGATTGAGGAGGAGAGGCCCTGAGTTACAGATGTCCCCTACCTCTGCCCCCCCTCCACCTTTAAGCCCCAGAATCAATCCTGGATGCACGTGTCTCCAAGCCCAGCCTTGTCCCCTTTGGCTTCTCCTTCCAGCGGCTGGCCTCCACCCCATTTTCTCTCTGGGTATCTCTCGGGGTCCTCTCCTCCCACCAAGGGAGTCTTTGTGTTCCCAAAGGGAAGGGGAAGTAGGGGGGAGGTGTCTCACCTGACAGGTTGGGAGAGTTGATGGCTGAGAAAGCAAGCGGGAAAACCAAGTCAGAACTGAGGTGTGGGACCGTACAGAGGGTGCCCAGGCTTCGGACCAGGGGACAGGGTTCCCAAAACCAGGACTGGGGGCCAGAGGGGCCTAGCCTGCGGTAACAAAGTAGGACACTGCACAGTGGGGAGCCCCAAGCTCTGGAACCATGTGGGGAGGTTGGAGGGGGGTCCCCTGGGGAGGAGATGAGCCCACCCTTCCCACCACCCCTACCCCCCCACCACCACCTACGCTCTGTGTAGTGGATGATGCGGGAGGCCATGTCACCAGCCCCGAAGGTGGTGTAGGGCGTGAGGCGGACCTCGTAGCTGTAGGGCACACGGAGGTCAGTCAGGATGTACTCCAGCAGCTGCCCCTTCTCCACGCGCCGCACTGGGATGGCCTTCACCACGGCGTTGTGCTGATTCAACTGCAGATACAGGGCGTTCCCAGATGCCCAGCAGGCCACACCCTCCACCAGAGCACCGGCCCAGGCCCTGGTGTGACTTGGAGGGTGTGGTGGGGGGCAGTGTCAGGGAGCAGAAAGAATAAAGGACTAGGAAGCCAGACCCTCAGTTTCCCCCTCTGTGAGAGAGAGCAATCACTCCTACCACGCCTCCCTCCTAGGGCTGTCCTTAATAATACGGGATGCTGGGCACTGCTCAAAGTGATTTGCCATTATTAACTCACTTAATCCTCAAAATAACAATCCTCTGAGGTGGAACATTATAATGACTCCCATTTTACAGATAAAGAAACTGAGGCCAAAGAGATGTCATTTGCCCTAGCTCACACAGAGCTAGATTCTAGCCTAGGCGGTCTGCCCCAGAGCCACACTTTTACCCTCCACACCTCCTGCCCCTTGGGCAGAATCACATGGAATTAGACTGGACACAAGAACAGCATAGCTCCAGCCTTGCATTCTAGAGACCCTGTGGATGAGACTGCCCCCCTACCCCACTCTAAGCTCTTGACTCACAAGTAGATTCTGTGTTTTGTGAGCAGAGCTAGCTCTGTCCCCTTTCCCTTGTATGAACCCAGCAGACATAGCCCAATTCTCAGGGCTGGGCCCAGAGCATGGGGTCGGAGGGCACAGGTCCCTAGAACCTCCCAGCTTCTGCTGCTGTGTCCAGAATACTTTCTCTCTGGCTCTGAAGAGTGGTCTGTAAGGGGGTCAAATATGTCCAATCCCTGCCTCCAACCCCTTCCCATGGCTTGAGGGACACTCCCAGGGTCAGCCTGACCCCGGGCCCCTGTCCCCCTTGGCCCACCTGGCGGACACTGAGTCTGTAGTTGAGCAGGGGGTCGACAGCATCGGGCTCCCTCTGGGTCCACTGCAGCACATAGGAGTAGTTCTTGGACAGCTTGTGGCTGCGGGTGGGGTTGGGGGTGTCGAAGTAAAACTCCGGGCTGTAGGCTTTGGCTGAGAGGGCGGGGAGGGGGGCGTGGGGCCGTGAAGGGTGGGGATGGGGAGAGACACAGAGAGAGGAGGCACGGGAGAGGGAGACAGAAGAGGATGGTGAGGAACAGAGACAGGGTATGGGGAGACAAAGAGAAAGGGAATATAGTGAAGAGAGGAGATGGTGGGAGAGGAGGAGATTGGGGGAGTGAGAGTGGAGTAAGAGTGAAAGTGAGAAGTGGAGAAAAGGGAGATTGGGAATTCCAAGATGTGGTATTGGTGAGAACAGAGAGGAAAGGCCAAGGAAAAGCCAGAGAAAAGAGAAATTTGGGAAGACACAGAGGAGGGATATTAGAGAAGACACAGGGAAAGAGGATGGGGGAAAGACGCAAAGAAGGGTCAAGGATATTGAGGTGGAAGGAAGAGAAAGGAGAGGGATGGAGAGAGGCAAAAAGGTGGGAAGACAGGGGAAGTGTGGGAGAACAGGGGAGAGGGGAAGGAGGTGGGAAATGTCATAGGGGCCTCTGGCTGGCAGGGCTGGGTGGGGTGGGGAAGGGCTGGGGAGTGACCTGTGGTCCTGGCCCCCTGCTTTTGAGTGAAGAGATCCACACAAGAGCTAAAGGGGCACCCGGTCAGTTGGGGGCTGCTGAGAGAGCTGGAGGTGCAGTAGAAGGGGACAGGCACACCTGGGGCTCTCCTCCAGGGGCGCTGCCACCAGCTCTGACAGGGAACCAGCTCTCCCTCAAAGAAGAGAAAGGGCATCAGAAACCCCTTCGGCCCCTATGCGTTCCCCTCAGCCTTCACCACGACCTCCACCCCTTTCTGAATCACCCATGCCCGCCTGCAGCCCCAAACAGCCCACCCAGGGATGACTTGATGACGAGATAGGCTGAGAGGGATTTCTGGGCACCAAGGGGCCTGAATCTCTGGGGTGACAGCTCAGGAAATGTGTGCTGGCTGGCTCAGAGCCACCCACGACGTTCCAGAGAAGCTGTTGAGGGTCGTCTTCTCTCCTCTTAGCTACAGCTCAGGCCCCTCTCATTGGGCCTGCAATTACGAAAAGAGGGGGTCCTCCGTCCGCAGCCTCTGGGGCCAAGGACGAAGGAGGAGGGGCTTGAAATGTGATGGCTGGGATGGGGCGGTGCCCAGGGCTTGAGTTGGAGGGTTTAAACCTGGTGTGGGCTGGGCTGGAGCGCACCAGCTACCAGGAAAGGAGGAAACAGAGAGCTGGGATTGGACGAGGCTGGAAGGGGTGGGGCCTATGCCTCGTAATTGGGGCCCAGGCGCGGTGTGGATGGGTCTTTAAAGAGAAGGGCCCATACCTGGTGCTCGCGGGGCTAGAAGGGCGAAGCCTAAGCCCGGGTAAGTAGGGGTTTGAAAGCGGCAGGGCTATCCGAGGCCAAGGAGAGGGAGGCTGAGCTAAAACGGGCGGGGCTTAGGGCACGTATAAGTGGGACTTGAGAAGTTCCTACACCTGGAGAGGGCGTGAGTGAAGCGGTGTAGCCTGTCTAGAGGGGCCCTAAAAGACGTCACGGTTTGGTCCGAGCGGAGTGGGCGGGGTTTAGACCTCGCATGGGAGGGTCTTGGAAAAGCAGGGACCTGAACTTAGTGTAGGGGGGCTGGAAAGGGGCGGGGCCCAGGTCGGCTGTGGGCGGGGCTGGGGTTGGGGCGGAGCCTGGCCCCAGGTGGGCGAGGTTGGGGGCGGGACCCACGGGACGCTCACCCGAGACCTGAAAGAGGCAGGTAGCCGAGCCCACGTCGTTCGAGATGCTGCACTCGTAGCTGCCGCTGCTGTCGCGGGTGACGGCGTCGAGGCGCAGTTCGGAGTGGTCGGTGGCCTCGGCGGCGACGGGGACAGCGGGCGGCGGAGGCAGCAGCTGCCCTTTGAAGCGCCAGACGGCCGAGGCGATACGCTGGGGGCTGCCCCGCAGCAGCGAGCAGCGCAGCAGCACGGGCCGGCCCAGCGCTTGGCGCACATCCTGGGAGCTGGGCTCCACCTCCGGCGGGACTGGGGGCGGGGGCGGCGGTCAGCGGGGCCGGGTGGGGTTGGAGGAGCGGCCCCATCGGAGGCGACGCACTCGACCCTGCTCCCGCACCCCCCAGCCTGGAGGGATCTCAGAGTGGATACACACTCGTAACATACACAACAGCCGCGCTCATACCTCCCTGACCTGCAGATACCCACCCCATCCCGGCCAATTCCTCCAGCCATGCTTCCCAGACTGGGCCTCAAATGGTCCCCTCACACTCCTCTCCCCGCCCCCTTCCCCACGTAGTGAAAAGCAGCATAACATCGGAGCTCAGAGCAAAATCCCCAGAGCTAGATGCCTTAGGTTCAAATCTCAACCCTGCCTCAAACTAGCTGGTAAGACCTTAGAGAGTCAAAGAGGCTTAGCCAAAGTCAGCCAGCTCCTCGGTGCAAGGGGCTAAGGACTGGAGATGAGATTCTAGAGACTTTCTCCAAAATCATCCCCTCCAAACTCCTGTCATTCTTAAAATGTAAACCCTTATCACTAAGTAACTTAAGCAAGTTACTTATCCTGTGACTCGGTTTCTCGGTTTGTAAAAATAAGGAAATAATAGAGTCTATTTATAGGGCTGTGAAGGGTTAAATGAGTTCATGCATTAAAATGCTCTTAGAACAGTGCTTGGCACGAGGTGAGTTAACTCTCATCGTTATACTATCAGACACAACGTGCTCCCTTGAAGGTCTTTCAAACTCCCGTGTCTACCTGTTATGTTCTATCAGTTATTTCTTTGCTCACTGGGTCCCTGGGAATGAAGATGGGGGTGGGGGGGCAGCACTTGATAATGGAAATGTGGCAAGAGTCACAGACCTCCCACCTTAGAACACAACATGGGGGTGGTAAGGTTTGGGGGATATGGGTAGTATGTGGAGGGGTTGGTTGGACTGGAGTGTATGAAGGGGTGGAGAGGGGGCAGGTCAGGCTGAGAACCGGGAGGGACAGCTCAGAAGGGAGTCCAGGTGGGGCGATGAGACTCACACTGCACGTTCAGCTGCACCTGGGCCTCGCGGGGGCGCACGTTGAAGCCATTATACCGAGCCGTCTGGCAGCGGTAGGTCCCACTCATGTCGCGGCTCACGTGCTCCAGCCGCAGCTTCCCGTCCGAGGTCTCCTCCAGGGGCAGCCCCGAGGGCAGCAGCGCAGCCTCCTTGTCCACGCGGGACCAGAGCACCGGCGGCCGCGGCTTGCCTCGAACCTCACACTGCAGCTCGGCGGGCGAGCCCTCCCGCACTGTGACCACGGCCCTGCCCTTGGGCACGCTGATGGTGGGAGGCACTGCGGTGGGAAGGCGGGCAGGAGCAGGGTTAGAGCTCCCGCCGGCCCCTGCTTTGGGGCTTCGGCTTCCCTCCCCCTAGGTTTGAGCCTCCCTTCCCCATCCCAGATGTCCCAAAGATCCCTCAGTATTTCCAAAACACAGCTCACCTCCCCCCAATTCTCTCTACCTTCTGGGGTCTCTACCTCAGGGTCTCCCAACTCAGAAAGAGATCTGAAGTCGTCCCGGCCTATTCCTTCTTTCCCTTTAGCCCAAGGAAAGGCGGTTCCACCTTGTAAACAGTTCTACCCAATGACCTCCTCTCCCAACCCCCTCTCTCCTACCCACTGACCCCGATCTAGTTAAAGCTTCCATCTTGCCTTCTGGAGTGTTACCACAACATCTTGCCTTCTGGATTGTTATCCCAGATCGCTAGTCTGTCCCTCAACATGCTCACCCTTTCTTCCAAGGTAATAGGATATCTGGAGTTTAGCAGGGCACACAGCCAGAACAACCATTATGTCTCCCAGCCTGTCTTAGCGCTAGCTAGCTGTGAGCATGTGACTAAATTCTGGCCAGTGGGATGTGACAGGAAATAAGGGTCTTTAAAAGGCGAGGCTGTGCCCCTCTTCTCCTCCTCCTTCCTGCGGGCTGGAATGCAGACTGATGGCTGCAGCTGGAACTGCCATTGTGGACAAAGTGGCCCACACTAGGGATAACAGAATAGCAAGACAAGATGGAGCCTGGGGCCCTGAGGACTTGGTGGAGCTGAGCCATTATTCCAGCCTGGACTGCTCACTTTTATGAGAAAAAAAAAAAAAATACACATCTAGCTCATTTAAGCCACTAGTAGTATTTTGGGATTTTCTGTTACACACAGCCAAACCTAATCCAACCCAACACATCGCCCAACTGGAGGGTCTTCTAAGACTTCCATGGGTCCCATCCCACATCCCATCAAACAAATTAAAATGTCCTACATTAAATATAAATTGTAAATAATTCCACAAGGCAAGCTGAGGTCCAGTTATCTAGTTAGGATCATTCATACTCTTGTAAACATTTATACAAATGCCTTGGCTTTAATTTTACAGTTTTCTCTTTGTATTTTGCAGCCAATTAATTTGTTTTTCCAGGTCTAAATTATTTCCACAGGCCCTTAAAAAGCTTCCATGCCCTAGGCATCAGGCTAATGAGCCAAACTGAGGAAATGGCCCAGTGCCCCGTTGATTTCCCTGTTTCCAAAACGTCCCAGCTCCCAACCTTTCTCTGCCCCCACAGGTTAAAGGGCTGTCTCCTTCCTTTGAGGCTGCACTGCCCTCAGGTTAAAGCTCCAGTTCCTTGGCTCTACAAACAAGACCCTCGTGCTCCAGCCTCTGCCACTCCCCAGCCTCATCTTCCCTCTCCCATCCTGTGTCCCAGCTATGGGATCCACTTATACGGCTTGTAAGGGACACACTCCTTGGCTACGAAGTCTTTTCCCTGTGCAGAAGTCAGGATGGAAGGGGCCTCTGAGGCCATCTGGTTCACTGTCTCACAGAGGAGAAACTGAGGCCCAGAGAGTCAAAGAGGCTTAGCCAAAGTCAGCCAGCTCCTCGGTGCAAGGGGCTAAGGATTGGAGATGAGATTCTAGAGACTCTCTCCAAAATCATCTCCTCCAAACTCCTGTCATTCTTAAAATGTAAACCTTTCAGGGGTGGCTCTACAGTCAGACTGCCTGGGTTCGAATCCCAGCTACACCACTTACTGTTTGTTACCTTAGGTGAGTTTCTTAAACTCTCTGAGCCTGTTTCTTCATCTCTAAACACTGATGATAAACTACCCCATAAGGTAAACCATGAAGGTGAATGAGCTAAATATGAAATCATCAGACCACAGAGTAAACACTCAATAAATATTAGTTATTATCTCATTGTTATTTATTATTATTGGAATAAAGACCCAAATCCCTGCATAATCTGGCCCCCGCTGACCCCTCTGCTCTCTCCCATTTCACGCCATTCTCCCAGCTGCACTTTCCTCCCTTCAAGAGTGCTCCAAATGGCCCACGCACTTACCTGCCACAGGGCCTTTGCACATGCTGCTTCTTTGGCCTCCCTTTTCTTCCACCCTCCCTTGCTCTCTTTTGCCTAGCAAAATCCTGCCCCTCCCTTAGATCTCAGATCAAACATTCTATCTTAGGAAACTCCCGACTCTTATGCATCAGAGTTTGCAGTGATATATTTGTGAGACTATCTGAAAAATGTTTGCCTTCCTGCTTCGTTCAATGCCAGGAGAGCTCATTTTGCCCACCACTCTACCCCAGAGCCTAGCACAATGCCTGGCATACAACAGATGCTTCATAAATGGGTATGGAACACAGAGGAAACACAAATTGTGTTCCCCTCACTCTGGTCTCCTTTCCCCCAAGCTACTGTGCCCACCTCCCCTCTGTGGGCCTCTCCAGTTTCCACACACACACACACACACACACACACACACACACACACACACACACCCATGCCGCTTCAGCTGCCCACCTGTCTCAGAGGAGATGTTGACCTCGACGCTGAGGTCAGGCACAGGTGCTCCTGGGAAGGAAGCCACGCACAGGTAGGTGCCATAGTCGCTGAAGTGCAGGTCAATGAGCTCTAGGCTGCTCGTGACGGCAGGCAACTCGGGGTCATTTCGGGTCACCAGCAGCCTCTTGGACATGCGTGCCGGCTTGCCGTTCTTGAACCACTGGTAGGTCACCTTCTCCTGGGGTACTGCATCCACATGGCACGACAGCTTCAGGTCCTGGCCCAGCTGTATGTTCTCACTTTCTTTGATCACATCTGGGGTGATCTGGAACGTAGCGTTCTTCATGGCTATGGGTGGATGGGGAGGGAGAGGTGGCTGGGGCTGGCCCAAAGCCAAGGGCCTAGGTCCCTCCCACCCCCCTCCGGACCCAGCTTCTCTCCTTGAACTGGCCTTCCCACACCACCACCACCCCCAAGAGAAACCATCACTTTGCTTGGAAATCGTTCTGCTTGCTCAGATGCATTTTTAAAAATCCAAAAAAGCTGGCTGTAGGAAAGTGGGTTTAGGAATTGTTACAGCCACTGTTGACTGAATGTCCACTATGTGAGAGGCACCATTCCAAGTGCTGGACATGGGTTTACTCATCTCACCCATCCCACAATCTTGGAGTGAGGCACTTTGCTGTCCCCATTTTACAAAGGAGAGAACTGAGGCTCAGACAGCTTAACTAACTTGCCCAAAGAAATAGCCAACCTTGAATTCAGACTCAGCCTACACTCTTAAAGGCTGCACTGCTTTATTTTTATTCTTGTTTTAAACCTTGAATATGCAAAGTACAATTTTTGGAAAGAGGCACCAGAATGTATTAATGCTTCTGTCTAGAGAGTGGGGCTGAGGGGAAATTTTATCCTTTTGTACTGTTTGCTTCTTTGCAACAAGTTTGTGCAATTTTAATAATAAAAGCCTAATACAATTATTTTACGTGAAATTACATAAAACACAGTTTAGAAAAAAAGGGTCTAGCCTCTTTGAAAAATCTGAATATTGTCTGACATAGCCAAGAGTTAGACAGAATTTTTCTTCTTCTTTTTTTAAGTAGGCTTCACATCTAGCATGGAGCCCAAAGCAGGGCTTGAACTCATGACCCTGAGATCAAGACCTGAGCTGAAATCAAGAGTTGGACACTTAACCGACTGAGCCATCCAGGTGCCCCTAGACAGAATTCTCAATAGTGGGTGCTAATTCGACAGGTCCCTGGTACAACGGCCATGAACTAGGACTGGACTGGGCAGAGCAGGCTGGACATCACCCTAAGAGGCGACCGTAAGTATTTGATGTAAACTGCAATCTCAGGAACCTAGGTTTTAAAGGCCAAATGGAATTAGGTGGAAAAAAGTAATCTGACAAGAAAAGTACCATCAAAGGAAAAAGTAGTCATCAGCAACAATCTTGCTACTGTCTTTCTTGCTCTGATTAAGTAAAAACTCACTGAGAGCTAGCTTCTTTTTGGGATGAGGGAAGAACAAAAAGGAGAGACCATTTCATCAGAAGACTCTCCACTGGATTTGACAGAAGCTATACTTTATTTTCAAGGGCTAAAGAGCTGCAAACAAGCCTGGATCTTTAAAATTCTCAAATAAGGGCACCTGGGTGGCTCAGTTGGTTAAGCCACTGCCTTCGGCTCAGGTCATGATCCTGGAGTCCCGGGATCGAGTCCCACATCTGGCTCCCTGCTCGGCGGGGAGTCTGCTTCTCCCTCTGACCCTCCC